CCTCCTCCTCCTGCGGAGCACCCCTCACGAGCCCCATAGGGGGGCCTCGAGGGGCTCCAGGATGGAGGGACGAGCTGCTCTGTCAAAAACGAGCGTGTGGCTAGAGACCTCCTCGAACAGTTGGGATCTCGGAATCGACGGCCTCGTCTGGGGATCCCCCAAAAAGGCCAAATTGCGGGCACCGCGGGCCAGGGGCACCCTTTAGCAACCCCCCGACCCTGGGGAGGCGCCACTGGCACAGGTAGGCGACGAGAGTCGAAGGAGAAACAGATGCGTAAACATCATTTGTTTGAGTTTCGAGCGGTTCTTGCATCGACACTGGGCCCCCCATGCCGCGCCTCAGGCGCCGCCCCTGGCGCGCCCAGCGCGCCAGGGAGCAGGGCGATGGGGGCCCGTGCCGATCCAGGATATCCGCGCGGAGCATTGGAAGTTTGTGACTATAAGTGCTGCCCGCATTCTCCACAGAGGTCGCGGTGTTCTCGGCTACACGTAGTTGACCTTCGGTGCTGGCTGGCCCACAGCGGTTCCTCTCGCACTGGCTGGCGCGCTTGGATGTGCCCCCCCCCCCACGCCCCACCCCCGAAGCCGCACACCAAAGTCAACTCTTGCACAGGGTCTCTTCTACGTCTAGCCGATGCCAGAAAAACATCACTAGCCTGGCGAGGGACCCAACCATATACAGTTGTGGGTACCGTCGCTGTGTGCACCGCACTCGATGGAGTTCCCTATGTGGCCACGTGTGAGTGGTGAGTCAAAATGGATGCGGCTTCCGCATGCGAGGGGTGGCATCTGTACCTTCGGTGTAGATCCCTATGGGGCACGAGGCGTGTGATGGGGTGTGCCACAATGGGTGCAGTGGCCGCATGAGGCCGCGGGCATTTGGGCCTTCGGTGTAGCTCCCTATGGGCCACGAAGCGTGTGAGGGGTGTGCCAAAATGGGTGCCGTGGCCGCGTGCGAGCGCTGGCATCTGGGCCTTCGGTGCAGCTCCCTACGGGGCCACGAAGCGTGTGAGGGGTGAGCCAAAATGGGTGCGGTGGCCGCGTGTGATCGCCGGCAGCAGCGGAATCCGTAACTGAACAACGGTGGTGGTAATTCCACACCGGTTTTCGTGACGCAACAACGGTTTTGGAAACTCACAACACTGGCTTCTGGTAACTCACAACACTGATTTTGGTAACCCGGAACACCCGTATTGGTAACTCATACAACCGGCTTCGGTAACTCAACACCAGTTCTGGTAAATCAATACCGGTTTCGTCGTGTGTTCGTTTTTGCCGTGCCGTGCTTTGCTCCTCCGTTGTGTTTCGTCGTGTTTTCGTCACGCCTTTCTGTGCCGCTTCCATCGTATTTCGTCGTGTCTCTTCGTGTGTTCGTCGTTTCTGTCTTGTTCTGTGTTCGTTTTCCGCACCGTGCCCCATTTACTTCACAATGCCGTTACGCAAGGCAGGGCGGCTTGCCGGTGGACCCCCGCTCGCCCGGCCGGTAAAAACTTGGGCTTAACGAAACCCGGACGCATCGAAACTTGCAGTGCACACGAAAACGTCGGAAAGAGTCCTCCGACGCGGGCGAGCCAAAAATCAAAAGCTCCCTCGGAAAAGTGGTTGCTAAGCAAAATATGACGAACGAGCAACACGCACCCATACCCATAGGGGGGTCGTTGAGAGGAGGACTGACTATGGGTATGGGTGCGGGTTGTCGGACCCTGGGGAACGCTCCCGTTCGAGCGGGGACCCCCATCCGACAACACGCACCCAGAGCCCTCTCCGACCCCCTATGGGTATGGGTGTGTTGTTGCTAAGCAAAATAGACCCGTTCGCGCCCCCTTTGCCCAGCAACGCCGTTACGTGAGGCAGCGAGGCTTGCCGGTCTATTCTGGCTCGCCCGGCCGTAAAGCAATTTGGCCTCCAACAAAACCCGGACGCAACGAAAGCCAGTTACACACGAAAACGTCGTAAGTGTAGACCTCCGAAGAAAAAACAGACCCGCATTGCGGGCGAGCCTGTTGCTCAGCAAAATTGGGGGGGGAGAACAGGACGGGGAGGAAGAGGACGAGGAACCAAATGAGGAGCACGAGTTAAAGGAGGAGGAGGATGAGCGAAAAGAAGGGAAGCAGCCAATTTCTGCATGAATTTGTCGTGCAATCCGCAATCCTTTAGATTTGATTCCACAGCGTATCGGCTCACGTAGTTTCTCGCGCATACCATTTTTCTAATTTCCATCCTTCTACGCATCCGTCTTTCCTGGGCCGTTGCCTTAGTGCTACACCTGTACGTCGTTCACGCCATCGTCGTCCTCCTCCCCGTCCTCCTCACGCAGTCGTGAACAAATTGCGCAGGTCAGAAATGCACGCTTCGAATCGCAATACCAAGCAATGCTTCGAGCTCGCAACGAGACCGGAGTCAATCTACCTGATCAAACCGATCGGCCGCAGTTGGTAGCCCAAGCCGGGCGTGCGTCGACCGCGATAAGATCACGATGCCGCTCGGGCACTGCCCGAACCGCTCGCCGCACTGCCGAAGAGCTTGCGAACGCCTCCGGCCCGCAGTCTCCGACAGGCAGCGTGCAGGCCGAATTGCCGGGCAAAAGGAGGGTGGTAATCAAAATGGAACCCCGGGAAGTCGGAGAAGAATATTTTGATGACAACGCTGCAGTTCCAATTCATAGTCGCGCCGCTCACGACAAGCCCACTGCTCTTCATCTATTGAAGGTGTCGAAGACGCGACGATTATCGCCGCAGGAGGATCGTGATTATGACCATCTTGATACTTGTGATAATGATTCAATAGTACACAGTAAAAACACAAGCGTGTAGGCAAACAACAAAAGGGGAAGGCGGGGGAAGAATGGAGGGAGGGGTGGGAGGAGGGAGGGAGTGGGGGAGTAAGGGCGGGATGGAGAGAGGGGACGGAGGGAGGGAGGGATGGAGGAGGGGTGGCGGGGAGGGGGGGATGGACGGAGGGAGGGAGGGAGGCAGGGATGGACGGTAGGAGGGACGGCGGGCGGGAGGAAGGGGACGGAGGGGAGGGAGGGGAGGGAGGGGAGGGAAGGGCGGGAAGGGAGGGAGGGGAGGGAAGGAATGGGGGGGGGCTGGCGGACATGGTGGGAATAAGCATGTTTGTCAGCAGACGAGATCAGCACGCTGCCTGCGCAGATGCCGAAACCGTTGTTCTCGCACGGAACGACGGAGCAAATAACGGCGAGACGAAAACGAAAACATGACGAAACCGGTGGGAAGGTACCAAAGGCGGTGTTGTAAGTTACCTTGGCCAGTGTCGCGAATGACGAAAACCGGTGGTGTGAGTTGCCAAAATTGGTGCTGTGAGTTACTAAAACCGGTGTTGTTAAAACAGGGCTAGGATCGGGATACATCGCTCCAGAGCGTTCCGGAGCGCTCTCAGAGCGGTCCGGAACGCTCTGGAGCGGCCGCGGCGCCCAATACATCCTCCAAACCCGCCGATTCTCAGAGATTTCGAGTTATCCCGATCCGATTTTGTCCCGATCTTCGCGTCGTTTTAGTTGTGAGTTATTAAAGCCGGTCTTGTGAGTTACGAAAACCGGTCCTGTGAGTTACCAAAACCAGTGTTGGGTCACGAAAGCCGGTGTCGAGTTACCAAAACCGTCGTTCAGTTACGGATTCCGTTGTCGTTATGCGATCGCTGGCATTTGGGCTTTTGGTGGGGCTGCCTATGGGGTCACGACGCGTGTGAGGGGTGTGCCAAAATGTGTGCGGTGGTCGCGTGCGAGCGAGGGCATTTGGGCCTCCGGTGGAGCTCGCTGTGGGGCCACGAACCGTGTGAGGGGTGTGCCAAAGTGAGGTAAGAGTGGGGGAGGGGGGGGAGGAGCAGGAGGAGGAGAGGAGGAGGAGAAGGAGGAGGAGGAGGAGGAGGAGGAGACGCGGGGATCTCTCTCTTCAACACGAAGACCCAACACCACAGGATGGTTGGGAATCGCCATACACTCTTGCAGGGTCGGCGCGATTTGTTCGGATCAGTGCCAGATGTGTGTGTGTGTGTGTGTGTGTGTGTGTGCGTGTGTGTGGGTGTGTGTGTGTGTCTGTGTGTGTGTGTCTGTGTGTGTGCGTGCGTGCGTGCGTGCGTGCGTGCGTGCGTGCGTGTGTGTGTGTGTGTGTGTGTGCATGTGCGTGTGTGACAGATTCGCCTGCACGCCCACCTGAGCCCACGCGCGGCCAGCCTCACACACAGGCCGCTCCGCGCCCACCCTTCGCGACACTGTGCCTCGGCCTGGGGGGGGGGAAGGAGAGGGGGGCGGGGCGAAGGGAGGGAAGAGTCGAGGAGGAGGAGAAGGATCAGGAGGGGCAAAAACACACAGACACGATTAATCGTCGATCCCCAGGAAAATATTCGAAAATATGGGAAGTGTGGGGGAAGACAAAAACCCAGAAGATATTGGAAAATATAGGGATTGTTTTACTTGTGTGTATTTATTTGTGTGTTCTGGGGCCCCTTCAGAGGAACATCGCCGATGCATCCGCGATGCGGCATCCCGCCGGTCGCCAATGCATTGGAGACGCGGTGCGATCTTCAGATCTCGTTTGGCCCACCTGCTCTGGCCCCACCTGCTCTGGCCTTGTTTGGGGAGGCCTCCAGAGAAGAACGGGTGCGCAGGAGGACTAGGAGAGTGATGAGGGTTGAGGGACAAGCACGGCGGAGGACGGGGATGGGAGGGAGCCACCCTGGGTTGCCGTGGAGCTGTCTCGGGGCCGTCGTGTGGCAGTCTGGGCTGCCTTTGGGCAGATCCCGCACATGCCGGACGCCCCCGCATCTCGCCGAACGACCCTGCATGAATTGTTTGGTTGTCAGGTGTGTGCTCTAACCTTCTCTCTCCATATACACATAGAGGGAACACACACGTAGATGTACACCTTTTTGCATGATTAAATGTTATGTAAAGTATGTATGTATGTCTGTATGTCTGTATGTATATATAAGTATTCTCTACATGAATCACCACACTCGCCGAGTACCTTCCTCATCCTGGCAGTCTGGCTCGAGGACGGATGCTCATATTTTTCACAATCCAGTTCGTCGCAGCTTGCCATGGAAGTTCGTTCATCCTGCCAGAGCCGCTGCTTTGTTCTCGCTCGGCCAACACGGTGCAGGTGGCTGCAGGGTGGAGGAGTAAGATGCGGGGACGATGAGCTGGAGGGGAAGGAACAGCAGCAGCTGGAGGATGTGCTCTCTCGTTGCCAGTCGTTGTGTTCGCTTTCATATTACGCGGGTGGATCCAATATGTAGATTTGCTTCGCTTCGCCTTCTCCCGACACCTTCGCGTCTCCCTCACCTCCCCCCTCAGGCCCCGTATCTCCACAAGGTTCATTCGATTGTGTTGCTCTCGGTCTCTCTCTCTCTCTCTCTCTCTCTCTCTCTCTCTCTATATATATATGTATGACTCTTTTGCCCTCTCCCCCTCTCGCTCTCTCCCTCTCTCTATCTCTCTACCTCTCTATCTCTCCGGCCTGCCGCGGCCTTTACCTACAACGTGCGTGCACCCGCGGGTCAAACGCCACGATCGCCTCGGGCGCTTGTCCATCAGCACTTCTGTTCCCGACTCAAAGTGGAGCGCAGCCGTGCGCGGCGCTAGTACCCGCGGCGGCCAGACAGATTCCTGTCCGATTACGTGTGTCCCTCTCTTTCTCTCTCTCTCTCTCTCTCTCTCCCTCTCGCACTGTCTCCTTTTTGTGTCTCTCCCTCTCGCTCTCTCTCTCTCTCTCTTTCTCCCGCTGCCTCCCTCTCTCCCGCTCTGTCTCTGTCTCTGTGTGTGTCTCTCTCTCTCTCTTGCTCCTCCGCCTCCACACTCTCCTTTCTTATTTGTTATCCTCCCTCCGCCCTACGGGTTTGCAAGGTATTCCAACTCACCAGAAGGGTCAGTCTTGTTTTGCAGAGGTTTGCGCATCGATTATTTCATCCTGACCTTCATCTTGTCTTACCACTGGTTCCGTCGCAATGATGTATCATCACACGTCTTGTCGCTTCGGTCTCCTGTTCCCACTCCGAGGTGGCGAGCCCGTCCATCATATTGATTGTTCTATGTTCGCAGTTCCCTCGAGGTTATTACCTTTCTTGTCACTGCGTGGCCTCGGCATTCCTCGTGCTTTCACGGCTGCCTCCTCTCGCCACGTTGCCGGCCCTTGAGGTCGAGGAGGCTGCGACCGATGGCTTCGCGTGCCCGGAGTGGTTCTCGGGGAACACGTGCTGCTCGCGAGAGGACACGGCTTCCATCACGGGGAAAGTGGAAGACGCCCTCCGGTTCGTGGCCCAGGTTCTGGACGAGCAGAAGAGCGAGCTCGAACAGGCAGGGCCGATCGAGGGCGACGGGTGTGTGGGGGAGATGTCGCGCGCTCTCGACTCGCGGGCCGCAAGCTACGCTACAGCGCGAGAAGCCGCGGAGAGGGGCGTGCAGATACTGCAGGGCGCGGCCATGCATCTGCTCTGTGCGGCGTGCTTCGTGTGCGCCGTGCCCGGGAAGACGAGGCAGGTGGAGAACTTCACCGTGCGAGCATTGCGCTCTCTGCAGGAGGCGTTGGGCGACGTCTACGAGAGGCAGGAGGTCGCGGACCAGCTCATCAGCCCTGCGTGCAGGCTGCGCTACCTGGAGTCGCTGACGCAGGCTGCGGCGCATGCAGACAGTGAAACATTCGAGGAGGGACATCAGCGGCAGGAGTTCAGCAGGAGTCGGCGGCGAGCGAGGGAGGGAAGCAAGAAGGAGATTGCCTTCTCAGAAGGCGGTGCAACTTCTCAGAAGCCCTCGCGCCTTTCTGGGAAGTCGCCTGGATCTGCGAGCCGGGGAAGACTTGCAGAACTTCTCGGAAGGCCGGGGAACGTCCGGTCCTGCTGTGAAGGCCAGCTCTCTCTCTCTCTCACTGCCCCCCCATAGCGGAGGAGGAGGGGGTGGGGAGGAGGAGGTGGAGGATGGGGAGGGGGAGGAGGGGGAGGAGGAGGAGGAGGAGGAGGAGGAGGAGGAGGAGGAGGAGGAGGAGGAGGCCGAAGGAGGAGAGAGGGGGAGGCACGGCTCCCCAAGACCAGCGGCGGGAGCGAAGAGGCTCGAATCGGGCCATCGCCAACGTGGATGATCGGGGGCGGCAAAGAGGGGGGTGATGACTAGGGGGGGGTGGATATCATGGCGGGGGCCATGATGTTTCCCCACATTTCATGGCGCCTCTTCTTATTTCATTACGTCCCTGGCCCCCCCCCCTGGGCCGCGCACATGCCGCCGGTCATGATTTGCACCCCCCCCTCTTGGACACCCCCCTCTTGGCCGCTCCCGAGATGAGGAGGGCGTGGATTTGCGACGGGTCCCGTTTCCATTGGAAGTCGCGGGTTTCCGCCGCCGAGCGAGGCGGCACCGGCCGCACTCTGGGGAGGTTCTTGCCCCGATCCATGGATTTTTGGCCACCCCCTCTCCGGATCCATGGATCGCTGCTCCATGTTTGCGCGCCCCCGATCCTTCCAGGGGGTGCGCTTCCCGCGGTGGGGGAGCTTTGAGCCGGCGATGCTCTACGCTGGCGACGTTGGCCCGAAGGAGGCGTTCGCGAGTTGGACGGACAGATCGAACGCCAGATCACCTGCAACATGGAGGAACAACCGCAGGAAGAGCGCAACACATGCGTATGGATACTGGTATTCTTCCATGCTGTCGCCATAGTTGGGCCTCCTCTGGGGTGGGGGAGGCTCGTCGCTACTTGTAGATTCGCCTCGAGATCCTAGTCAGAGCGCGCTCCGGGAGAGGTCTGGAGAGTAGCGGTAAGTTTTTGTGCCACCAGGCACTGACACGTGTTGTGAGATTATGTCGTCGTCATTCCCCCTCATCCGTCTCCTCCACCTTTCCTTCCAACTCCAGTCCCGACTCCGCCTCATCCTGGCCGTTCTGCTTTTGCCCTCCTCCGCCCTTCCCCTGATCTCCCTCATCATCGCCGTCCTTTCTCCTCCTCCCCCCTCCCGTTGCTGACGCCCCTCCCCGCTCGGCTCCTCATCTTCTCCCTCGTACTCGTGATCTGCCGTCGCCTCCCGCGTCTTCGCTTCCTCCCGCTCACCCCTTTCTCCTCAGCCACGCGCAGAGGGGGGTGGGGGGGGAGAGGGGAGGGCTTCTTCGAAGCACCCCTGCTTCTTAGAAGGCGCGGGCCTTATCTATAGATGTAAGGCCAGCGCCTTCCAAAAAGCAGCCTGCTTCTAAGAAGCCCTCCCCCCTCCCCCCACCCCCTTGTGCGCGCCGCCAATCTCCGTTCCGCCCCTCCGGCCTCCCCTCTCTGGCACGCGTGCCCTGCCCGCCACCCCTCCCGCGGTCTGCCTCGCAGGCCTCTCCTCTCGCCCCCTCCCGCCGCGCTTCTCTCTCTCACTGCTCCTCCGCCTCCTCCTCCCAGGGCTCGTTTCGATTCCTCCGATTCGATTCGATTCGACTTCGATGGATTCCGATTCGATTCGATTCGACTTGGGCTTCCGATTTGGGTTCCGATTTCTTATTGGAGGCATACTAGCCTGCCGATTTCCGCCGATTCGACTTTTCCCGATTCGGCTGCCGACTTCCGCCGATCCGATTCATGTCGATTGCCGATCCGATTTATCGATTCGATTCTGGGCTCTCCTGTCCTCCTGCCTCCTGCGCCCCATCCGCCTCCCCTGTCTTTTCTCGACGTCCACGATCACAGGCCCCACCACGAGGTTCGGATGCAGCTCCTGGGAGGTCGAATTCTGATCTAGCCCTGGTCCGGAATCCGGCCTAATCCGGCCTGATACCGCTTAATCCGGCGTACCCCCGCATAATCCCGTCTAATTTGGCTTAATCTTGCTTAGTCCGAGGCCCATTCCGGCGTAACAGCTCCCAAATGTGGCTTAATCCTCTTTAATTTTTCCGACGAAAGCCTCTCCGAAGTTGCCCCCTCAACAAGTGGCAACGTCCGTGAAAAGCACGTTCAGGAGCAGGCAAATGCGACGAGCATGCCCCAGAATCCCTCCAGCACGACGAAGGAGAAGCGCAACGAAGCATTCACAACGGCAATCGGCGTCCCACTCCTCCCGAGAAAGAGTTCTCGCGCCCGACCCTGGAGGCCAGCCTCCCCACGACCGCAAACGTGCCCTTTATGCCCTTGTCGCCCCTCCCCCTCGTGCTCTCCCTCCCCATTACAGTCGGGGCCCTGAAGAAGGAGCCCTTTCTCGTTGGGGAGGGGCTCGGTGTTCCTTGATTGTTTCAAAGTTTGCCTCGGGTTTCCCTTCGGTTTTCCATCGGAGTTCGAGGCTGCACTTATGGGAAAAAGGGGCCTCGTTCCTTAGTTAGGGTTCCTTAGGTCAACGCCTCGACTGTATTCCCTCTCCCGCGCCTCCTCTGTAAGAACGGTTTTTTGAAGGCAGATCTGCCTTCAAAAAGAACGGTTTTTTGAAGGCAGATCTGCCTTCAAAAAACCGTTCTTACAGAGTAGACCAATTTTTTGAAGGCAGATCTGCCTTCAAAAAACCGTTCTTACAGAGTAGACCTCGCCCGCGCTCGACTGCCCGCAGCTGGCACACGAGGTTGTTGCAGGTTTCTCTGGCGTCCGGCGCGGAGTGCTGAGCCTGCTCCTGGAGCCCCTGGGCTCGCTGCTCTACCAGAGGCCGCCTCCCCAGAGGGGAGCGCGGGGAGCTGGGGCGCTCTCGGGGGCTCCTCCTCCTCCTCCTCCTCCTCCTCCTCCTCTCCTCCTCCTCCTCCTCTTCCCCCTCCTCCTCCTCCTCCTCCTCCTCCTCCTCCTCCTCCTCCTCCTCCTCCTCGGGGGTGGGTGGGTCCGGACGGGGCCAGGACGAGGCCCTGGCATCGCTCGGAAGTGTTTTTTTCTCGGCGAGGACCCTCGAGGAGCAACCTCGACCATCTGGCGAAAAAGCCACGCACGAAACCGGGAAAACACACAGGGAATGGACGTCCGAGCGCTGGCCGGGGGGGGGCCCGGACGGGGCCAGGACGAGGAGATAAGTCCGTTGCGGAGCGTGCCGGAGCGCTCTCAGCTTCGGAGGCGGATAGACCTCCTGCCCTGACGCATCGATTCAAGAATTGGCCGTTTTCGATTCGCGAGAGGGCGCCGCGGCCGTCTTTTTTGCGGGTCCAGTCCATCGGTTTCGGTCCCAGGCCGTTTTCACTAAGGGGAGGTTTACTAAAGGGAGGTTTGTCCATCGCCGATCAGAGCGTTCCGGAGCGCTCCGAAGAGGCCGCGGCACCCGAGGCCTCCTCCAGAGCCAGGGGATCTTCGGGGTTCTCGATGTTGTCCTCCCTCGGTGTTGTCCTCGTCCTCGCTTCGGGCGCGGAGGCAGGCGGAGCGGGGGGAAGAGAGGGCCATCCACCAAACCACCCCGAGCTAACCTGGGGGCCCCCATTTGCCCTCTATTCCCAGTGGGGGCGTCGGGGGGCATGAATTTCTCGACGCGGAGATCCCCAGATGTGGGCACTGTCCTTTTAAATATCTGAGTGTCAGCGAACTCATGTGGAAGATGAAGCCGTGAGAGACGCCGACGACTACGACGACTTTAACTAGATGTTTCCTCATTCTTTCCTCCATCTCCTCCTCCTCCTTGTCCTCCTCCTCCCCTTTATCTTTCTGTTCCTCTGAACACCTGTCAGGGCGCCGAAAACTGCTCCTCAAGAGAAGGATGTTGGGCACCGCAACAGGCAAACCGCCCGAGACATCCCCCCAATCTGGGCGCGAACGGGCCCGTGATATACCCCCTGGCGCCCCCCTTGGGAGTGTTGAAACCAACGCCTCGCTTGAGACATCCTCGGGAACTGCCCCGACAGAGAAAAAAAATTGGCACCGAAACAGGCAAACTGACTGAGACATCCTCCCAATCTGGGCGCGAACGGGCCCGTGATATACCCCCTGGCGCCCCTACTTGGGAGTGCTACAACCAGCGCCTCGCCTGAGACATCCTCGGAACATTTTCATCAAGAGAAGGATGTTGGGCACCGAAACAAGCAAACCGCCTGAGACATCTCCCCAATCTGGGCGCGAACGGGCCCGTGATATACCCCTTGTCGCCCCTCCTTGGGAGTGCTGAAACCAGCGCCTCGCTTGAGACATCCTCGGAAACTGCTCCTCAGGAGAAGGATGTTGGGCACCGAAACAGGCAAACCGCCTGAGACATCCCCTCAATCTATGGAAAACATTGCCCGTGATATACCCCCTGGCGCCCCCCCCTTGGGAGTGCTGAAGCCAGCGCCTCGCCTGAGACATCCTCGGAAACTGCTCCGACAGAGAAGGATGTTGGGCACCGAAACAGGCAAACCGCCTGAGACATCCCCCGAATCTACGAGCAAGTGCATTCGAGTATAAGTGAGTCTGAATATGAGTGAGTCGACATGTAAGTGAGTCAGATAATGCTGAACTGAGGGTGGGAGGCGTGTTCTCTCTCGTTCTCCGCGCGGTCTAAGTAATATCAAGAACCCCATCCTTAGGATATGGGGAAACATCATTCACACAAGGAACCCGTACCCCCCCCCAACCCGAAATTTGGGTCTTCGGGTTGGGTTGGGGTGGTCTGGTAGGTAGTCAGAGAGGGGGGAGGTGACGTTGCATCTTCGGGGGACCCCAAGTCGCACAAGGGTGTCCAGATCACGGGGGGCGAGGAGCCAGACGCGCTCCCTGAACTCGTTGTCGGCCTATGGCACGAGAAGTGGGACGCTTCCCAGCTCCTTTCCAGGTTTTGTGCCTGATTCTGACTGCTCAGGCAGAGGCCCACGATACCCTGAGCTTTCTGATGTTTGGGGCGGGCGCCGCTGGCGCCTGCTTCCGCAGTGAATTGAACTGAACTGCATCTTCGGGAGACCTCGTCTGTCCTGTTCATTGCGCGGTTTCTTGCGATGCTCGACGCGTGGTCGGCGTGGATTCGGCGCGGAGCCGGCTCTGATGCGACGTGTGTTAGGCACGGATGCGACGCGCTCGACATCGATTCGACGCGGAGAGCAATGTACACATTTCAAGCCCTCAAGGCCTCTGTTGGGACCTTGGACCCTTCAGGGCCCCTTTCGGGGCCCTGATGGACACCTTTTCTGCAGTCCCCGCTGCCCCCCCTTTACAGAGGAAGCCCATGCCAAGAAACACCCTGCTTGCCTCCAGAGTGCCCTGGGTTTCTTGGGTTTCGATGGCTCTGCTATGGAAAGCTTGATGTTCCCACTCCAAACGTCCATGGACGTCTTGGGGTCTCAGGGTTGGGTTTCTTGTGGAAGGTTTAGTGTGGTCGAGCTCCTGTATCGCCCTCACCAGAACGCCACGCCCAAGCCAGACGAGGCCCCCCGAAGAAGGCACCGGAGGGAGGGTCCAGGAGAGAAAAATCACACCGACACAATCGATCGTCGATTCCCCAGAAAATATGGGGATGTATGGGAAGTGGTGGGGTAGACAAAAGCCCCGGGGGAGAAGCACAAACATATATTTACATATATATATATATATATATATATATACACAAATGAAAACATGGGGAATCCTGTTATTTGTGTCTACTGATTTGTGTGTGCCCCAGGGCCCCTTCAGAGGGGAGGATCCGGGGGGGAGAACACGGGACGAGGGGCCTCGGCGACGGCAGGCCTCTGGGGGCCCCCCCCAGAAAACGGGCGAGCACCGCCAGGGAGGGCCGCCGTTGTCCAGACAGTCCATCCACCTCCGCCCCGTCGTCGTCGTCGTCGTCGACGTCGTCGCCGTCGTTGTCCTTCTCCTCCTCCTCCTCCTCCTCCTCCTCCTCCTCCTCCTCCTCCTCCAGCTCCTCACCCTCCCTCCTCCTCCTCCTCGGCTCGGCTCGGCGGCTCGGCGATATCAAGGCCTGTACATAAGTGGCCTATTCTTGGATTGGGAAAAAGGGGGGGCAATGAAAAAGGAACAAGGAGGGCTCACTTCGGAGCCAATCCGTACATGCAATGCTGTCGTGACATCAGGGGTCCCATC